TGGCGATTGTTGGTATATATTTGTTCTGTTTCTTTTTCTTTTCTTTTATTACATTGATGAATGGATTCACTTTTTTCTCCATATTAGTACACTTTGTCCACTTTACTTTTTTATTTATGAATACACTAGTTTCACTTTCATTTCCTGTGAATACACTAAATTCACTTTCATTTCCTGTGAATGCACTAAATTCACTTGAATTTGAGCAATACCACAAATTGAACACAGGGTGGGGTTTTTCTCTGGAAGTTTTTCCTTGTACGATGTGAGGGTCTAAGGACAGAGGGTGTCGTATTGTCATACTGATATTCTGTACAAACTGTGAAGTCCACTGAGACAAATGTAACATTTGTGATATTGGGCTATATAAATAAACATTGATTGATTGATTTATTCTAGTATACCTCAACAATGGAATTATGATCAGTAGAAATGGCCATGACATGGGACCTTTAAAGTGCAGGATGGGAGGTTTCTACATAGACTTTATCATTAGGGTAAATACATAAATAATAATTCAATCAAAACAAAAGTTAAATGTAAACAGAATAATCAGCCATGATAAAAATAAAAGTATTTTTTTAGGACATTATTAAGGCCCACCCACCTGACAAAATAATCACTTCATTATAACTTTACCCATTTTAGTACAGATATTATAATATAGATAACACAGCAGGCACTAGCACACCATCAGGTCCAAAAGGGAACAGGATGCAGATTCTTTTAGTCTTTAGTCATGAAGAACATTTTAAAGTATAATGTGATGGTGAGTCAAAAAGTAAAGCTATGTAGATGCAAGGTTTTTGAGAATTACAATATGCAAATGTTCAACCAGCTGTTTTCACTTTTTAAAGAGTCTATGCCTCAAGGGAACAAAGTCAGAACATCAAAGCTTTACCACCCCTAATAATGTCCATATTTAGTCCCACCCATGGTCAGCGGCAGTTCTTTGTTCATTCCTCAAACATTACTAAGCACTCTCAACTACTTTGTGTACAAGCTGCACTATTACAGCTTGCTGTCCTCAAAATCCCAAACTTTTACTTTGACAATCAAATATTTTTCCACATTCTTACAGAACTAAAAGATGTTAAACAGCCGGTGCCATCACTACTACTGTAACCCCACCATGTTCCTTTCCATGCAGCCCTAAGCTGCCAGCCGGGTTACGTAAAGTGTTTTCATATGAAACACATTTTGGTGAAGTCAGTGGAATGTCCAGTTAATGTTCCAAATGAAATCTTGTGTCATAAGGGAAGTCTACGGATCTGCGAAAACAATCCTTTTACTTCTGAAATTACTTTGGTCCGAACTGTGCCAGAGGCAGCTGTCCACGCCTCAGTTATAGATACTCCTGAACAATGTGAGAACACATAGAAGAAGAAAAGGTGATCAATACATTTATGTGTTATTTTATTCATTTAAAAAGCAGTGACATCATTCCTTATTTTTATGATGTATTTTTCAATCAGCAAGACGATTAACTGCCTTTAACTCACTAATAATTTGGAGCATTTAGAAGAAAAGAAAACATGTCCTCTTACAATAGGGGGCCTCTCTGTGCCAGATCACATTTCTGAGTTCAACAGTCTGAGTCACAAAGAAGCAAGTTTAGTTACTTCCTGTAATCCTAAACTGCCTGTACTCAGACCCCACAGTTTGTTGATCTAACAAAACACCGACAAGTCTGCCGCACATGGTTAGCTGTTTTTATTTTGTTACACACAATGGGTGTACCTCAGGTCAACTCTGTACACTGCTGCCAGATGGACAGTAATTGGGTGGTGTGCTGTTGACTGAGCAGCTGGATGTTTGACAGGAGTATCAGAGACTTTCCCTCCGCACTGCTGGCATCTCACACACAATAAACCTCATCAAAGTCTTGATTCTGGCTCATTAGCTTGTTTTGATCTCATATCATTTCCTCTAACCTTATTCTAATCTTCAATCTAATCTCATTTTCCTAATTTAATCTAATCTGATATCTCCTTTTATTCTCACATCAGAGTGAAAATAAGAGTTGGTGTAATGTCATCCAATTTCATCCCATATTATCTGATCTAATCTCTAATCTCATGTTATCTGAGCCTAACTAATTTCATTTGATGTAATCTCATCTCTATTGTATTGTCTCATCTCAAATTTACAGTAATTTAATGTAGTCCCATTAAATCCTATTTCTAATCTAGTGTAATATGAAATTGTATGTGATGAGGCATGTTTCTGCACGCTTAATCTCTAGATTAAAGATGAAAAGTGAATACTATCCCATTTCAATCAAATTTTCCAGTTTCATGTTATTTCATTTTAACTCAACATTTTATCTTATCCAATCTTATTGAAGGGACCCTATTATGCTCATTTTCAGGTACATATTTGTTTTTGTGCCTCTTCTCTGACATGTTTACATGCTTTAAAGGTGGGGTAGGTAAGTTTGAGAAACCGGCTCGAGATACACTTTTTGTTATATTCCATGGAATACTCCCGATAGCAATGAATATCTTAAGTGCTTTGACAAGAAATACATAAAAAGATGTCATCTGTGGAAGCCGTAGTACTGTAAAAAGCACGACCAATCATTTTAGCCGGCCCGGCTAAAATAACTGGATGTCCTACCTGCCTGTCAGCCTTCCATCTGTGCACAAACTTATCTCGTGCCCTCATTGGTCATGTGCGCGTTCGTGTGTGTTGGAGGAGGGGCTCTATAAGGAAGTGGCAGATTTGTTCCGGCTGTGTATTTTCAAATTCTAGCGATCTCGAGCTGGTTTCTCCAAAATGACCTACCCAACCTTTAATGTTCAAAAAGGTTTTTATTTTTCTGATGTGCTGCAGCACCTCTTTTCACCCTCTGTCTGAAACCAGAGCCCAGTCTGCTCTGATTGGTTAGCTGGCCGGCTCAGTTGTAATTGGTCAACCGCTTGAAGATGTCCCGCGCCTGAGCCTATCATGTACAATTTGTTTGAGTGCTAGGCAATAAAAGGAGTGTTACATAGTGATGTCACAATGTTTCAGGTAAAGCTGTTTTATCCCATCTCCTTACATTTTTAAGATAGTATAATATAATGTAATCTCATGTCATGTTCACATCTCCTCTCTAATCTCCATTTAAAATCAATTTTAGATTAATGTAATCTCATGTCTAACCTGATCTCAAAATTATTCCTGGTGCATATAAAGCTGTTTCATTTAATTTAGAAAATACAGAAGCAGAAGAAAAATGTTTCTACAAATCATGCTTGCGTTTAACTCATTACAGGAAGGCTACACAGAGAAAATTATGTGTTGTTGTTCGGGGTCAACACAGATGTGATACTAACTAACCAGAATACAAAACAAGTTCTTAATCTGATTCAAGATTATTTGCTGTTTACGCCAAAATATTCTGATAAAAATCAGCCCAAGACCATCTCTGGTAAGTAATTGATTCCACATGGGATTCAATGAAATACCTCCATATGTTGTTGAGTCACTTGCTGGTAATTATGTGAGGAAGACAAATCCACTCTGATCGGGTTGGTTTCTGGCACTTAGTCAAGGTACAAAAGAGGATTTTTCAGGAGTTAGTCAGACTCGCTAGAAGCGTGATGTGTGTCTAACGTCAGTACTTAGGAAAAAAAGTGGGGTACATTACGTGTGCAAAGTTTGATTTCATCTAGTCACACCAGCAACATCCAACTGAACATTTCTCATGTATTGACTCATCAAACTTTATCAAAGGGACATCACTACATCATGCAACCGAGACAATGTCTGTGCTTTTTATTCGTGTCCCTCTCTACTTCCTCTTGTGTGTCTCTAGCTGCTAAACATAGCACCATTACACAAAACCATCATGGCAATGATGCAATAATAAACATTACTTTTGGCCTTGAATAGGCAATTAGAAAGCCTGATGTCTTAAACCACGAGTCCTTGGTTCAACTTTATGTCTGTCTATATTTGGCAAATGGAGCAATGCAGTTTCATTGTGATGGGATTTTCTGTCATGCTAGACTTTTTAAAAGAAGATAATGTGACATTCTCTCTATTAAATAATTTGATCTTGTACTCGCCTACTAATGAAACTAACCAGCATACATATGTGATTAATTAATTTCTGCCACCCCTTTTCCATATGATGTGATCTAAACTGTTTTTCAAATGTTTGTTTCACATTTCTGCAAATGCACATACACGCAACATCTCACAACAGTATTATTACACAAATAGGTTATGATTAACCAGGCAGTTGCTAGAAGACTATTTTACTTTTTGTAAACATCTGCTCCAATTCAGCTTGGTCCAGTCAGCAGAAAAACATGTGAAACTGCATTTCCCTCCTGTTTTGAATCCTTGTTTGAACTGTGTAGCCCACAGTGTTTATAGTGTAAACACACGGCATCTGTTTTTAACAGGCACTATAGTCTGAAGCAACCTCAAAGCTGAGGTCTTCGGATAAATGAACAGGGGAAACCCATAAGAGTGCAGCAGCCCTTAAAAGGCTCCTGACTTAACATATTTACATTCAGTACTTAATTACCCAGAATAACCTGTGACGGTACTGGCAGCCGAGCAGTTCAATTAAGAGAAATCCTGTGACTGCCGAGCTACTACGCCACATACTTTCCTCAGGAAAGGAATGCTGCTGAAAGTCAGACAGAGGGAGGAGGAGGTCGCTGTTTTCTCTCAGTCAATGCACATTTTTGAATACCTTGTAGAGTAGACTTGACCATAAAGGAGTTTACTCACAGGGGAGGGTCAGCACACTCAGGGAGTTCATGACTTCCTTTTAAAACCCTTTCTCTTGTCTAATAGCAAATGAGCTGACTTTGTACAGATACGTTTTGTAAAGTAAGCAAAAGCAGTAGCCAGCCAATATCTATCTTCTATTTCTGGCTTCCCCCCATAGCCCCCCCACCCCCTTCCCAGACTGACGTCAGCAGAAAGTTATTTTCATGAATGGAGGGGGCGGTCACGAGGAATCGGTGACGTGAGTGCTTGCGGAAGCAGAGCGTGGAATGTTGGTACATTGTTGTTGTTTTGTAGTTAATTCAGTACGAGGATCCTCGGCTGGCTGGACGCTCTATCCCCGCTGTGTCAACTCAGTCCTCCGCCTCCATCCGAAACCCGCTCCGCCACTTTTTACTCATCACGGTCCACAGATATCTGCGTACACAGAGGTGAGTTTATGTTTTTTTCCCTTAGTAAGATGTTTTGAAGTCACTTTTTTTTTAATTGCTGAAGTTTTCCCGGTGACATATTGGAGCACGCAGACAGGATTATGATGGCCACACGCGCCCGTCACGTAGGATACGTTTATGATCCGGGTTATGAAAGTTGATGTTGATTTAGTAGATTGTTTCAGGCGCGTGGACACGTGTTGTAGAGTAACATAACACAATGCCCCATAGGTCTCAGAGATCTGTGTAGTCGCGTGGAAGAGCTAAATTGGGAAAATACGTTTAAAAACATAACATAAGAAAATCATAATAAGAGTTGAAACAATTGCTTATTTCGTTGCTTCTGTGTGTGACTTTTATGTGCCGAGTTTTTATCTGAATCAGCCTGGTACACACTACATATTTAAAAAGAAGTCAAATGGATTAATTAACTAAATTAGTGAAACTGTGTAGGGCACTCCCTTTTATAAAAATTAAACAACAAATAACTGAAGCATGCACGGAAAAAGTTTTTTTAACCGTTTTAAAAATATTAATATTAATCATTTCATATAAATAAATCTGACTTTAATTTCCCGAGGTAAATTCATGTTACAGTTACAACGGTACTTATGTGTTAGAGAGTCAGGCTACTGTTTACAAAACGCTCTTTAAAAAAAAATAAGTGATTTTTGTTTGTTTATTTATATCCCATACATAGCCTACAAGTCACTCGATTGAGATTTAGTTTTGAGGAAGTGAAATTAACTGTTGCTTTTATACTTGTTCATATAAAACACTCACACCCCTTTTTCAATTCTGCTACTCTTGCTCATTTCAACGCGGGTTTAATTTAGACTGCTATAGTGCAACACACCAGCCTACTTTTGACATTGGAAACAACACGTGGTCTGCATTTTAGACATGTGGGACAAAGGGCACGATGAGGAGGGAGACCACCGGGGCTGGGTGGCCTCCTCAGGAGAAACCAGCAGTCAATACACAGCAGGGGCTGCACACATTTCCACAAACAATAAATCACTCTGGAAGAAGGAAGCTTTATCTTATCTTTGTTTCTGGTAACTACATACATCTTTATGGTTGAACACAAGGAGCCTTTTGACATGAGTACAATTAATTGTTGCACAATTAACATAATAGTACTACAATTACTACTCCATATATATAATAACCCAATGTTATCTCAGAAAGAATACTTCCCGACTGTCTTGTAAACCTACACTTTCATTTGGGCTGTTAATTTATAGAGAAAATTGGACTTGTCAGATTTTATGGCAATTGTGATTAGTATTTGGAAAATATTTGTCTTTGAGCAATTTGTGTCACTTAGATGGTGACAGACTTAATGTCTGAGAGTCCTTTGTGATTCACTGTTGTTTTGGGTGGGTGCTTCAGACCGGCAGTGGCAGTGGGTGCACTCCTCTCCCCTGTCATGAGGTTAACATGTGGTTTAATCACCAAAGTGATGATGTCTTTTATAGATGGAGAAATAACCGTGGCTGACTCATTGTACCACCAGACTGGTGTGTGACAGTAGCAAGGCACATGGGGAGAAATTCCCCTTAAAAACATAGGATAAAGCATATTTTGTCATCACATATACAATGTCTGTTTTGGTCTGGTCACCAGTGATGAAAGCGTATGCAAAATGTGCCTGTGGTTGAGTGTTGTGAAAGTGAAATAGCTGTGGTTTGTGATGCTGTGACTCACAGGGTTCACTTCACCATGATGTGTTTTTGCTCCTCTCACTGGAAAAAATATGTCAGGTTTAGATTATTGACTTTAGAAGCCAGTGATTTTATCCACATCTGAACATGCCAAACAGAGTGCATGCAGGCAATAACAGACGAGTGTGTGAACAGGCTGTGGTGGTCCGTCCAAAGTGACTCCCTGACAGTTATATGGTGTCTGAGACTGCTCACTCTGCCACCCACTGTGATCCTGCCTATCGCTGCTTTTCTGTCAGTGACCCAATCTCACCCCGCTGCTTTCACCTCATTATGCACAGAGGTGTGGCAAGTGTCAGGATTACTCATTTATTTATTTATTTTGTGGGGTTGTCGTGTTATTTGGGAATTCCTTGATTTGTCTCACTTGCGGATTCAATTGTTGATGTGTTTCCTTTGGTAACTTCCTGATTACACCGTGACTCAAGTTGGTAGTTGACAGCAACAAACACAAACACTTTGTAGCTCCACAGCATTCAGAATGTATGCGTTGCTGTTACATCCTGTCTGTCTATCTGCACGTGTGCCAGACTGTTGTTTTGAAGGAGAATCACTGAAATCCTGATAGTGCTTTTATGGTCAAAAAGTCTTGTTTTGCTTTGATTTATCTTTTTGGGGAGTAAGGGATGTGATCTGATACAGCTCTAATACTTTCCTATTATTCACATATTGTTGGTTTCCAGGTAGTTTTGGACAGGTACGTCCTTGTTTCTTGTGCATTCTTGAATTCTTTTTGACTCCCAACATCCTTGGTTGGGAGAATATCTTTGCTCAGATATTTTTGCGAGTTCTCCTCCCTTTTCCGCACAACAGTTCTGGTGTTAAAGCCAGTTATTTCCAAGGTTCTCTGTACTTTTCCTTCCTCCTGTGAAACAACGGAATTTTCCAGGAAACGTCAGATGGAGAGGGTGTGATTCCCTGCCGCTGGTCGTCGCTTTTACCAGTAAACAGCATGACTCACTGCTCAGCTATGCTCTCCATTTCCTTCACATAATATCCCACCAAATGTGCTGCGCTGGAGAAAGAGCAGAGAGCAGAGCGCAGCAGTCTGTGGAGAAATAAATCTCCCCTCCTCCCTGAGAAAAATGCAAGAGCTTTCTCAGAGGAGTGTATCAGACTGTCAAGGGCAACAACATGTCTGCTTTCTGCTTAACCTGCTCCCTAGTTCAAACAAAAAGGGAAGATAAACAATGAGTCCAGACAAGCCAGCTCTGCATTTATCACTGCAGCATGAGCACACAAGTCTTTGATATGCTGTTTATTTTAGGAGGAGGCTGGGCCCCACAGTTACCTTCTGTCACTCAAGTGCAGCCTTGAACTTGACCAGATGCCTGACTTTGAAAACAGCATAAACAGAGCAAAAGTGGTACAAAGGTCAATTATCTGACTCAAATGCAGACTACAGTGTTTACTATACAATACTTAATCAATTTGCTTTGTAAGAGTTTTTTTTCCTCTGACAAAAGGCAGATTTGTACCCATGTAAAGAATTGTTTTTGCCTAGTTCTGTGTTTTTAAAATCTTGGCAACCCAAATAACAAAAACATCATCATGTGGAAAACACCATTTCCACATCAAATAACACACATCGTAACCAATACATGTGCGTCTAGCCTTCGTAAGGAACACCTAGTTGAGTTGAGTCATCCCTTGGCGGCTTTATTCTGCATTTTTGTGGCACTTTTCCATAACTTACTGATGACATTAACTTGATGAGGACATTTGTGGTTATTAGTCATCAGAGGATTGCCTTCAGGAATGAAACATTGTCGGTTGTATGAGAACGAAAGAAAAAGAAAAATGAAAGATAGTGTATGAGTGAAGCTGAGTCCTGACTTCCACACGTGTGCACACTGATTTGTTCGGGCAAGTGAACGATGTGAGACACTGGTGAATTCCAGACATTTTGTAAATATCGCAGCCGTTGTTTTACAAGTGGGATAGTCTGAACTCCACCCCCGCTGTAGCCGAGTGCATCGCAGGACAGATTCAGACCCAAGGATCCTTCTTCAGTGCATGTGAGGGTTTGCACATGTGTGTTCACTCAGGAATGTGCTTTTTGTTCTCTACCCGCCATCTGTTGCTTTTCTTTGAGGCTTTTTCCCAGACTCCTTTTCTTACCCTTGTGAGAGTTGTTTTCTTGACTATATCAAGAAGCTGTGACTTGTTGTGATATATGCATGTTCTTTCTGAATGGCAACGTTATAAACAGTGGATTTGGCTGCGTAATATAATTGCTGTTTTAAAGAAATGTTGGTTTCTCATGCGTTTTGAGTTGCAAAGACATAAGCACATGCCGAAAGAATTCCAGGGAAACAACCTGGCCTCTTGCTTGATGCTGGGGGCCTCTTGTGTGCAGAGAGAGGGGGGGGGGGCCACATTACTTTTCCATGATCTTTGAAAGGGATATACCCAGGGACCCCTCCTGATGCAATACCACATAAGTAAGGCTGTTGTGGCCAACTTTCTGCCGAGGAATGTTGTATTGCAGTTCTTCATCTTTATCTGATGCTTTGGAAAAATCTCAATTATGCAATCTTTGCAAAATGTATGAAGGACACCAGAGAGAGCAGCAGATGTTCCCCTTAATGTCTAAACACGAGTTTATGTGGCTCTGGGTTTTACTGTTTGGTTTCTACATGTAGTCTCATCTGTTATTGAGGTTCATCTGCACGAGACAAAAACACTTTCTCTAGACAGATATGTAGAATATAAGCTATAAAAGTCTCATAAAAGAGTCAAAGAGGGTTGTTTTTCATGTCGATTGCACTTTTTCCGGCAATCCACATCTGCAAATCAAAAGCCGAAAAGTCCTGTATTAGCAATACACCCATATAGGATGTAAACATGTTATAAACATCCCAAAAAGAGCAGCCACACCCAGAGTACTTTCTCCCATGAAAGCTGCAGCCAACAAGACTGCAAAGGAATATTCGCCCTCTGAGGTTTCACCTATCGCATGCTCAGTTAATTTGTTTAGTTGGCAGAAATTTGTGTCAGCACTGAGGGCTAAATATATCCTGCCAGAGTTAAATAAGGGCATGGAGCGGCTCAGGAAAGCCCAGTGTAAGAGGATCCATCCAGCGAGACACAGGCCCAAATCCACAGACTACATTGTCTCACATGCAGCAAAAATACATCAGTGACTATAAAGGAAAGTATTCCTCTGTGACACTCTATCTGCAGGAATGTTCCACATGCGTATCAACTACCCTGTAAAGATCAGCATAACTGTAAATGTTATGCTGACGTCAGTTTTAAAGTGCGATGAGGAGGCAGAGTTGCTGTAGACACCATATTAGGGGAATAAACAATCCAAATGACACTGGATTCCCCAGGATAAACAGATAGATAAACTGGAACTGTTTGTACAGTGGATGCCTTTGAAGTTATCAGCACAAGTTAGTGCTTCTCATTTGTACTATGAATAGGCTGTGTTGTGGTTATGAATGAGACTTGTTTACCCTTTTGGTGACCATGTGACTCACACTCCCACGCCCATTTGCAGGGCGTTTCCATGGCAGCAGTCGAGCATGGAACAGTGCACTTGTAGTCAGGCTGGCCCGCAGGTCCTGAAATGGAGCCTGGGGGGAGGATGTGTGCCTCTCACAGGATCACAGCCCGGCGCTCTTTCACTTTTGTTGGCCACGAGAGCAGTCCGGAAAGCATGTGGCTCACTGTAATGAGTACAGAGAGGCTTTTCTTAAAAAGCTGACAAAGCCCGGAGAGCTTCAGCACAGAGCAGGATGAGGAGAGAGGTTGCCTGTTTATAATCTCTCTTGGTCTACTGAAATACATTGTCAGGGCACTCCTCCTTCAACTTTGGTTTAATGGTGTCGTGCTGCCCTCTGCTGTCATCTGAGGCCCTAACATGCAAACATAATATTGACACATGACGTCATCCTAGGAATGTTGTTGTTAACTTTGAAAGTGAATGTGTAGGGCAGAGTGCCAAGTTGAACATCTAAATATACAAATAAAATGTGTGGGACAGTAGCCAAAGTATTCAGATCTGTTACTTAGGTCGGAAGTATTAATAACTATCGCTGATTCATAAAGATGTGAGTAGCTTTTATTGAGGCCTGCTTTTTGGGGTTTTCCTTTTCCTGTAGTTGTCGGCAAAGGCTAAAACCCCAAAGTTCACATTGAAACTCCTCAATTGGACTCCTTTGTCTACTTCTGTAACATAATGACATCACTTATTAACACTTGCGCTTCTATTGGCTAGCACTCCAACAAATTGTACGTGATAGGCTAAGGGGCGGGACATTTCCAAAACATCTCTAAGTTATTGACCAATCACAAGAGTGCCGGCAAGCTAACCAATCAGAGCAGACTGGGCTCTGGTTTCAGACAGAGGGTGAAAAGAGGTGCTGCAGCACAGGCAGTGTGAGAAAAAGAGCTTTTGAACATTAAAGCATGGGAACATGTCATAGTGGTGGCACTATGTGGCACTATGTGGCACTATGTGGCACTATGTGGCACTATGTGGCACTATGTGGCACTATGTGGCACTATGTGTAATATATTGTATTTGAAATTAAATTAACACTATTTGTTTTTCTTTCCTCATAGTGTGTCTTCTGTGAGATTCTGGCCTGTTGTCCGCATGCAGGGAATGACGACTCAGTTTAAGGCGAGCAAAGCTTTAAAGGTAAGTGTTTGAGAAGTTTGAGAAATGTGGACCTTTTGTTAAAAGCTCCGACCTGTTCTTCATCCACTGCTCTATCCTGCAGGTCAAGAAGGAGGGTGAGAATGCCCCGGCGGTCAGCGACGACGAGTTGGTGGCCATGACGGTGCGGGAACTCAACCAGCACCTGCGTGGGCTCACCAAGGATGATGTAGCGAAGCTGAAGCAGCGGCGGAGGACCCTGAAGAACCGGGGCTACGCCGCCAGCTGTCGCATCAAACGCGTCAGCCAGAAGGAGCAGCTGGAGAGACAAAAGATAGATCTCCAGCACGAGGTGAACAAGCTGGCCCGCGAGAACACCAGCATGAAGTTGGAGCTTGATTCCTTGCGAGCCAAGTATGAGGCCCTGCAGTGTTTCGCCCGATCCGTGACCCGCGGGCCCCTCTCGCCGGGCAAGGTGCAGAACACCAGCGTCATCACCATCGTCAAGTCCGCCCACCGCAACAACTCCAGCCCCAACCCGTACTCCACCGTGTCCTAGTGTTGACAGGACTGGGCTCTTCTCCTCCTGCCTGGTCCTTTCCGGTTCTGACCCGGCCTGAACCCACTCGCCCTGCACTGAGAGGACGCTCAGTAGTTAGACTATGGGATGGAATGGGGTGGCAAAGCTTGATGTGATGTTATGCTGCAATCACAACTCTGTCTCTCTCTTTATGTCTCTTTTACACATTGTCTGTGCACTGTGCAAACCCCCCCGACCCCCCAGCACCAGCAGGGCCCCTGTGACCCTTCCTCCATGACTGTAAGCAGAGATTTTTCTTTTTACTCCATTGTTGAAAAGTATTTCACATGCCTTAATGTGGCGGCAAAGGCCCTGCTCTTGTATTATTAACCATAACACTTGAGATGGAAGCAGTCTATGTGACAGAAAGCTATTTGCAAAGCCAATGCCAAATCATATGACCTTAATGTGGAAGTGCCTCAATGTACAATGAGCCTTTGAAGCCGTTGCCTTAAAAAGGACCCATAAGTGATCCTATAACATTATTATAGAGTACTTACATGGATACTAACACAAAGAGGATTTTTCGATTTATCTCAAGCTAAACACTTTGTATTTTGCCCATGTCTATAATTCCTTATAAAAATAATTATGTAATGCGTTATAATAAGCTTATAGCCCTATACAATTATAGTTAAAAGCACTTATTCAAAATGCTTCATAACTTCATAATTGCTGGTCACTTATTAGTTTTGTTTTGCCAGACCATGTCAATTATGAATTACAATATTTGTATCATGCCTTGTGATAATACTTCATATAGTATATGATTATAATGCATTATTGCACTTATAATCCCCTATGAACATTGTCAAAAACAAGTCAGTGAGTGACTAGCAGTTATAAAGTTATATGATACCTGACCTCCTAAGTCATTATAGTCATATGCAGTTTCATAAAGGCCTCTACTCGTGATGCGCTATTGTTCATATTTCGGTCTTGGTTATATTACAAAGTTTGACTTGGTGGTCAATACCCTCTCTAGTATGTGAGACATCAGCAGTAGGTACACTACAGTAAAGGCTTTCATACTAGTGCTGACAGTGGTCTAACTTTGGAGTTTTGAAGTAACACTTTTCATTTGTGTTTGAAACTTTCGTAAGGCCAGAATTGATATGTAAGCCTTTGCTGGATGAAATTGACTCCTTTTGTTAGATATTTTTTTTAAAGACCAGTGTTTCTTACTGTTTCTCCTATAGCCCACTGAACAGATGAATACATCACATCCACAGGGTGTCAACATCAGGTATAAACAATAAGCTTCTAAAGAGGCAAATCTGATGCACCTTGAGTTTGCTGTCATTGAAGCTCATCCATGGAACACTTGACGTGCTGGCAGTTTGGTTTAGAAGTCATTTCGATTGGTATGAGGGCCTGAGATGAGGTGTGTATGGCTAGGGTGTTTTATGCAGGTGCTGGACGTGATTCTATTGGTATATTGTGACCATACCACTGGAGAATTTAAAGAGCTGAATACTTATTTTCCACAAATTGGAATTCATTGATGATTATGCAGTTACATTTGGAAACAGAACATTTTTGAATTGGAACGTGATTTGTTTGGATTCGAAATGTCATCCTATTTCCATCATTAGTTAGCACTTAAAACTGTTAAGATGCAGTATAAACAAATCACAGGGCAACTGATTCCTAGAGTTGGAGTTGAAAGAAAAAAGATTGAGTTAGTTGGTAGGAGATTAAATATGTGACCATTTACTGCCAGTCAAGCCTTATTGAACTAATGGCTCTGTGAGATGTATGCCACAGCACTTACTGGGGGATGGTTGGCCTCTTCCCTTTATATGAAACTCTTTGGTATGTTATCCATATTAGATGTAGTGAAAATGAGAGCGGTCCCTTCAAGTGAAACGCAATTCAATTGACTTCCTTTATGTTACTAAGCTCCCACTGCCTTCTTTGTCACTCAACATCGAGATCTCCGTCCAAATAGAAATCATTCCTACTGCTGGTGTTGATATCTCTGAAGTCCTAGCTATTAACCTTGCTTTTGACACACTCTCCTGCAAGAGAACTCCTGACGCCCATCTCTAGAAGGTGTCATGACAACTAAATGCAGTAACACCTTCCTTCTGTTGTAATTTTTTTTAAATATTTAAGTATGAAATTCACTTGAATTAAAGCCGTCCTTACCGAGGATCCATTCCTAAGTTGGAGTGAAGTCCATAGAGATTGTTCACGTCAGGATTTTCTCTTCGCTAAGAGGACATGACCGTTTTTTCCCTGTTCCATAGCTGCAAAGAACATAAAGGGGAACTTTGCTGCTGTACAACCTGCTGTGATTTCTAAGCAGGGGCAATGCTGTGCTCTTACTATTTTTGTATTTTCACTTGATTTCTATGTTAACACATCCTATGTTCTTTTTCTGATACTTAGTTTTATATGCATATACAGTATATATGAAAATATATATAACATATTTTTCTATATTTATGTATTTTACTATCCTGGGAGTGGTGTGATTATGTAATCTTTCTTAAGACGTCAAATTATTTTGATGCTGACCGTCTTCGGCCACATTTACAATGAGATAACTATTTTATTAACTTAAAGTCTTCTTTGTGAGTTTTTATACCACATAATTACGTCTCGTCAGCACATTTTTTCATTTGTCTCATTCTGAAATTGGACAGACCGTGACTAGGGTTACATACAGGCTGCTGCTTTTACCTTTTTGAATATGTTCTATTGTTATGAACAATTCAAAATGTAAGAGATAGGTTGGAACTCAAACTAGCTAAACAAAATGTACCATACATTTCATTTAGCGAATCGATTTTCTTTCAGGCTCCATTAGTTTAAGAATAAATGAGAATAATTTATTAAGTAAATAGTATTAACCTGGATGTAAACCTAGTCAGACGTTCTGGCCGCAAAGACGATAAACTTTTCTAAAGACATTTTGTCAACAGTTTAAAATAATGATGGTGGTAAAGATTGTGTAGTCTTGATGAAACCTTTACTGAAAATGAATTCCAAAGCTGCTAGAGACTGTTCACCCAGACTTTTTCAAGAATTATATTTGAGTTGAGGTTGCAAAAGGTTTCACCGTGTTTATATAATACAGCTTGAAGATTTGTCACAGTTTTTACAGTGGCCTCTTGTGGTAAAGTTTAGAACATAATGCTGTACAATGATGCATTGTTTAATTTGAGCACATATCACTGTATTTTGATCTGAAGTAGTTGCTTTTAGGCAGCACACCCTAAAGAAATACTCAGCTATTCTTCAAAGTAATGTTATATTTCCGTACCGTGCCATAAGACAAACCTCTATCCGGGTGAATTAAGTACTTCATGTTTATCTTACATCCAGTGTGACCCAGCAGAGGTCCATTTAACCTTTGGGTATTTTACCACAACAAATATTCTCCAGATATAATCATTTACACGTTCAACAAGCCCCATTGTTCCCGCTTAAATAAAAGAAGACGTGCAAATAATTGTAGAAGTTTCTGGGAGAAAAGAGGTATAAGCGTTACCTACCGTGGGTGTTTCTTTCTTCGTACAGTTGAAGAGATGGCAGCTTGTTATACAGTACCTAGGAGCTGTTTAAGAAATTGTTGGTTATTTTAAATTTGTATATGAACTATAGCAATGCAAATGTATGTATGGAAATGAGGTGTCTTGTATATTGTTAATTTGGTGTTCAAGTTTTTAAATGCATTTCCATGAAAACACATGTCCTTGATTACATAAGCTGCCACAAACAAGCTTTTGCCAGTCCTACAAGCTACAGTATTTAATTTTAGACATGTAGAAAGTCAGTTTTAGTATTGTAGAGGTTTTGAGTATAAATTCAGAAACAGCTCAAGGAATGGGAGGTATAAAGATAATAGGGTTGTGGGTTAAATGTTAATTCAACGGCAGCAATTCTATGTTATGTTTTTTTACTTTTTAATGGATTTCCTTGTTCTAATCTCATAGCATCATGTTGAAGCTAAAACAAAGACAGCAATATAAAAGGCAGCATAAACTGAGTATGTACCCATCACACCTTTTCACTAGTCTGCTCATATACAGTATATTTTATATTTATTTCATTGAATTGTGTAATTTTATTAAAAAGAACACCTAAATTATTTTTATTTTACATTCATTTATTAACATGTTTTCTCAATGAACTACCCTCATGTACAAATAAAGTCTGTATTTGTTTCTGCTCTGATTTAAAGTATTGTAAATTATTCCTATGAATAAGTCTGCCGTGTCGGTTTTTTGTACCTTGAAATAAAGCCGTTTCCTCGTAAAGAAGTGCAGATCACTCAAGTTACACAAGAAAATAAATGGGTTTAATTCTGTACGAGTGCCACAAAAGGACTAAGACACACAAGTCAACTATTTCTTATCATTTCAAAATTTGTAGCCGCCTGTAAATTAATTTCTGCTTTCCCAGAAAGACGGCTATACTTGGCACACGAAGGTATGGAAAACAAAACTATGACTGATATAAAAAAAAATGGGTCTGCAATAAGTTATGTACTTAGAAAGCTATGTCCCCCATGTGGTGTGGACACAGATGATAGCATTTTTAAAAAGGAAAACAAAAGTTGAAGAATAAACTACGTTTTTTTTTTAAAAAGCAAACAGAATTGGGTTTGGCCTGACTACGCCTGAACTACACACTTTAAATACGATAACATCTTCCCCAAACAAGTTTTGTTTTCTTACACAAATACCATAATTTACAGCAATTCAATTCTGGCCATATTTAAAAATCTCTGAAACATGATTAGTTATGTGAACACATCAAACATAAAAAAAAGCATTGTACAATAGTGCAGAAGCTGCAAAACAACTGATTGCTAGCGTCTGTTGAACGGCTGACTAGTTGCACTGAATTAAACTCTTTAGCATGCTGGGAAAATGAATGAGAAGAATACAACTCCCACTTTGTAGGAGACAGGTTTATCCAATTTGTCCATGCTACGGTAGATACAAAGGATCGCAAAGTGCCTTAGTCTGCAGTTTGAAGTGCCTGCTCCAAAACGAATGTGTCGGCGAACAAATCTTTCCATTTGTCAGGAAACCATGCAGGGGGATGCTCAGTAAATACTTCAAACAAGCAGATGCGAGAGACGGTCCATAAAGTGTCATTCCCAGCCATGGCTGCCTCCCTGCTTCCCTCCTGCAGTCACATATTAATCATCCCCTCTTTGAAAGTGACATGAACCAGAGGGAGCGCCCTTCAGACGGCCACAGAGCCAGCACTGACATAATGAAGGAAACAGAATCAGAGGCACTGCTCAGCATCCAGCAGCTTGATTTAAAGGAATTGCATTGCTCCAGATGTCTCCGATACAGTGAGGGTGACATGTCACTGTCCTGTGATTATTACTGTTCAGATGGAGACAGCTCAGTGTCCCTGGTCATTGAGCCATCACTTATAAAAACTATTAATTTCTTCCTCTTGGTGCTTAAATGATTAATTAACATCAGGACAGAAGCAATGCGTCCATCTTAAATAATGGGATGATAAAAATGAAACACCTGGATTGTATCCAGTTCTATGCATTTATGGGATACAGTTTTCCCCAGGGGGTTAACGATAAGGCAGCAAGGACACAAACAACTCAATCATGCTGGAAAGATGGCTAGAACTCGTCATCAGAGGTAATCAGCATGATTTTGTCTGACTTGCGGGTGCTCTTGTTGCCTGCGGCCACTTTTCCGTTGGCGCTGGGCTGGACCACCTCCTGCGTGGACTGCTGGGTGTACTGCTGGTAGGCTGGGGAGAAGTTGTGGATCGCGTCCTGCACCATGTCTCCTGGGTTCATGGTCTCCTTCAGACCGCTGGAGATGCTGTGCATGGGTGGGTGGTTTTCTGCTATTGGAACAAGGACATAGGGAGATAAATGATTAGACAATAATGAACTCGTAAAAGCAGTCATTTGAGGGTAACTTCCTGGAGTCTCTTCTAGTTGTGTTGCTTCCAGCCAAGAAATCGACTAGCATTCTAAAACACATTGGAAAGGATAAGGGAAGTTAGCCCGACAAGCTAACCTCAAAAGCATTAATTTGATCAAAAGAATTTCCTACTAGTTCCTAATTTGATTGTGGACCACTTGATTTATGGTAGTCTTGCTAACGCAGGTGAAAAGAGAATGACTCATTTCTAACTCGGCAGTGGAGACAATTCCATTAAAATTAATTAATCTGAATACAAATAAGAGGGTGTGATCTTTTGAAGACTAAAAAGCTAGCTATGAAAGAAATGCTGACATTTTGTGGCATCTCATTGGTCTCATTTTATGTGAAAGTGTACATAACACTTAGTCTTTTTGTTCATTCTATAGTCACATTTTTTTTTAACACAAGTTCCCAGGACCCAGGGTGTAATCTTCATGTTGCTCTTTTAGAATCAACTTACTATTCATATACAACTGAAATGCAGCAAAAAAGGTTCTATATTTTTGATAGGGTTAAATCGCTAATAACATGCTAAATTAATTTGCCAATAAATTATGCCTACCTATTTAATTGGTAGGATAAACCACATCTGTGAAACGTAATAGCAGTATTTTTGTCAATATTGAGTAAAAAGAAAATACTCTAAATAGGCAGAATATATTTCTTTCATCACGGCTTTTCCAAAGGCTTCAGACTAGAAAAACATTTCACGGCCACCCTTCCACTGACGGCCCCTTAGCACCCAGCTGCGAGCCAGGTGGAATTCACCTTACAACTAAAAGGGTTTTCAAGGGGGGAAAAAATCAAGGCAGAGATATCCACAGTCTTCTGTTTCAGGGTCACTGGCAGTGCCGTGTGGATCGGCTTATGGATGTGGCAAAGAGGAGGGCAGGAGGGCGAAGATTGGGCAGGTGGGGGGGGGCTCTACAAGGCAATTAGAAACGGTCTGCTGAGTCTCTCCTTACTGCAGCAACCTACAGTGTACACAACACTGAGGGAGAGGAATGGCAGACCAGAGGAGCGGCAGACCAGAGGAGTGGCAGTCACACACGTCAACACTGGAGGTGGGTGTGCACCAGCAGAACTACATTGTTTGGAGACTTAATGATGTGAATCACATAGGAACCGACAGGCTGGTGGAAAAACATACGTTGTATTCAGCTGTCAAATACTTAAGAGGAGTATTGGGTTTCTTTCCATATTGGAAGGAATAACAGGTATAGGATGAAAAATAAACATTTCATTGTATTACCTTCTGCGAGTTCAAAAATAAATAAATAAATGGTAATATCAAATGGATACAGTAATGTTTCAGTTTTATCACCACCTCCAGCGTTTCTGAATGATCAGCAGCTCACGGGAACAGAGGGTTTCCTCCAGTATAGCAGAAAAAAAATTGGCAAAATGATTGATATCGCTGCGGAAGGCTTTTCACATGGTTCCCATTTGTCTTTGAGTTGAAAGCAGCGCTGACGTCAAAGAGGTGCTGCTCGCTCGCTGATAGTTACCGTTCTGTATTCCTCGTCATCTTCCTCTACATTGTTTTACTATCAACTGCTGTCTGAGCCACCGGTTACAATGTGTGCCGATGAAAGCGCCCGCACACTGCCAGCCTGACTGCACTGCTGATCAGCGTGTCATTTCATTCAGAAGAAAAAAAGTAAAAAATGTGTACATATAGACATTGCAGCTTGTGTTAAAAAGGCCGATTGAATATGGAATCTAACTTTAAAAGCCAGTGTGAACTAAATGGCTGAAAAAGGCACATAGTTTATTGTTACACATACAAGTCCGGTTGTGTCTTTTCTCTGAGGGGGAGAAGGGATATGTCAACATATATTTTATTGCTTTCATATTTGTTTGACAACCAGTGACTTTATTGTCGAGACAGAATTGAAAGGGGTCTGGCCTGATTACGCCTGAACTACACATATTAAATACGTTCAAATCTTCCCAAATTAAAATCCAAACAGGTTTTCTTTTACACAAATAGAACACAAACACCACAATTGACAGCAATTAAATTCTGGCCATATTTCATAATCTCTGGGGATGACATGAGCAGCTCACCTGGCACTTCATTCTTTTTCTCCTGGTACACGGTGCAGGTGAAGGCATATTTGAGGGCAATGGCAGCAAAGAACATCTCAATGCAGATGATGAAGTTCTGCCATCCTGCTGCCACGGTGCCCGCGCCGACCTCATGTCCATCGATGAAGAGTGCGTTGGGAATGACCCCCCAGCGCTCCAGGATGGCGAGGACCATTCCTACAAAAGCAGCAACACTTTCATCAGCAATTTATACTTTTTATGTTCCGGGTTCTGATACCAAAAAAGTAGTTAGGTGAGCTTACCTTGCCAGAATGACAAGAAGATGACAGATTTGATGGTGAGGAACTTCAGCACCGGTTCGAACGGCCTGAGCAGGTCACTTGTTGCGAAAAAGAAGATGAAGAGGGCGTAGAGAGACAGGCTGACGGAGAAGTTGTAGATGATTGTGATATACAGGTATCCTCCATTTATGCTGCAAAGACACAAAAAGTGACACATTTGGTACATTTACAACAAGATGACATTGTTCCATCTGTGATCATATGGAAAGCCTGCTCAAATCAAATCTCCTATTGTTTTTGACAGCGATGATTTATTCATATCTTGAATCCATTTATTACTTTTTTTGCTGAAAAGACTGTCAGCCTAAATTTGATGACATTTCCAGCCATATTGCAAGAACAGCTGGAAATGCAGCCTGTTTTGTTCCCTTCTTTAAAAGAGTCAATAAAGCCTGTGTGCCCATGTCCTTCTTATTTCAGAATGCATTTGATAAACAGGCAGACTTGTCTTTATTTCAAAGTCAGTCCGCCTTTCTACCTTCTTTGCATTCAAGAGAGCCTCTCTGAGGCCTCAGCTGTGACTATACTAATTACTCCCACCCAGTATAGAGCGCATGGTTGGCTGAGAGCGTATAAGTAAACAATCTGTGAATCATCATGGTCTTGCAACAGAGCGTAGAGAAAGACACGAAAAAGAGACACTTCTGCTTGCTAATTTTGCTGTTGAAGTATATTGAGAAATAAGGAGCACGGGTTTAATCGTGTCTATCTTTTAGCTCAACAATAAGAGGGTAATGATAGAAAGCTGATTGGAAATGTCGGTCTCGAGCCCTTGTTGAACTCTCTGCTTTTTCTGAGTACTTTCAACATTTTTGTCACAGCTGAATCCTTAGAATGAAACGGCGCTGAGAGGCTGAGAAAAGCA